CCTTACCCATATGTAAGTCTCAAACCATTTATTTAAATTAACAGCCTGTTTGAGAACACAACCGCTAGAGGGCGGCGGCTCACGGAGTCGCACTCGCAGTCACAGCAGGCGAGTTCTCTACATAAGACAGACAAGTTTGGTCTGACGAGTAGGTATAAAGAAAAAAGAATTCATATTTAGAATTTTTATCACCATTGAAAATGTACCGATAGTTGTTGTTCGCCTGAACTGTACAGCGCAAGCCTACAAGCTTTTAAATGTGGGTGCTGGTAAATAAAATAACCATACTAGGACAATTAATTTGTGTAACACTGTCAATATTTATTCACTTTTTTATAATTATGAATGATTATGAGCAGGTTACAATGTTGAACATAATTAGTTGGACCCTCTACCAAACTCTTCACTCTTTTTCAGTAACATATCTGTAAGTTCTTGTCGTTGGCCGCTCTATCTGGGTACTCACACAAACCAGACAGGCGGTTACAGGGATAGAGGAGAGAAGGGCGGTAAAATGACTAGGCCGACTTTGAGTGCTTAGTTGGGCTTGTATTGTTGGGTTTCGGAGCTCGCTGTGAAGCGACCAGCTCGGGCGACTGCTCTGAATGAGGAGGTCTCTTTATTTCCATGTGGAAATAGCACCGATACAATGAGGTAAATTCCATATGTGATGAAAATTGTTGGCCGATTCAAGGAGAATATCCATATTTGGTTGCGGTAAATGTAGTGGCTGAAGAACACTCCAAATGGCCGTAAGTACCCTTATAAAGATTTTACCGGCCTGCGACTTGCTGATCCCAAATGTATGTTCGACATCCGAGTACGAGAGGCCTGCACACAAAATCCTATTAAAAATTTCTTGAATATCATTTTGGTTTTTTTGTAATAAGTAAAAAACAAGATTTATCTTAGAGTAGTAACTAACTGTTCTTCTGGTGATATGGGCACTGGATAGAAATTGCACCAATTATTCGTTAACGGACCACGTAACATGGTTAGAATATACTCAAAAGTACCGACCGACATTCGACAATAATTTTTAAATTTATTTGCGTTTAGTTTAATAAATAAAAAACACCGAAAACATTCTGAACGATTTACTCCTGAAGCGGTCATTTTAAAGTTTGACTTGCATCGGTGGCGTCCAAACTCAAAATGCCAAAACCACGCATATACAGACACTGTAGTTTGTTTTCGACTGAGTGCAGTCGGTTCAACGCTGTTGTTTGCTTACAGTTTAAAAGTAGACAGTTTGAGTACTGTTCGATTACAGTTGAAGTTAAAACGGTGCTTTTTAAATTGAAAAATAAACGATCTCTCTCTTTATTTTAGTTGATTACTGTAGTAATTCATCAATTTTTTTTCGCGCTATTATAAATTGGTTATCGAACCAAACAGGCGCATTTTCGTAATCTCGCTATGCGTTTTACCCCGGCTTTACTTACTCCGCGGCCGAGTTGAATCGTGGTATTAACGCGATTAAACAGTGGTAAAGAACCGTGGTATAACCACGATTAAAGCCGCGATACAATCGCGATTAAAGTCACGGTCTAATCGCGATTAAAGCCGCGGTATAATCGCAACTAAAGCCGTGGTACAATCGCGATTAGAGCCGCATTAATGGTTTGATCGTGATGAACGCCGCGATATAAGTGTGATGAAAACCACGTGACTGCAGTATAATCTTGATCGCGCAATTGAAAATGTTACCTACAGCGCTGGAGAAATTATTAATATTGATTCGGAGCTGATGTGAGATTAAGAGGTATTTGTATTTGTATCGACATTAAATAATTTGGGAAAATAGATTTTTTGGCCATTCGACTAACTGTATTTAAAAGCGACGACAATTGCTCTGCATGATTCTCATGGTTGACGATGGTGTATTCTTTTAGTATGCGGAAAACACAATCGCCTTGGAAGCTTTACACGGATTGAATTCGTGAAATCAATCGGAACGTTATTGATTGTGCGTTCTGATAATTTGGAATAATTTGAAAACACGTGATTTAGCCAATAATCTCGCCACTATAGACGCACCATAAGTTATTGATGTATTATTCTCGACAATATAATATATTACAAATATATCGTCAATTGCTTCAATTTTTTATCATTGTGATACGGTTATGTACATTATCATGTGTAAATATCTCCGCAGAAGCGACATATTGAAGGGCTGCGGGTAATGCGTTGTACTACGAATGTGCATGGAACTTTGCTGTAGAGACACGTCGATTGCTCTGAGCTGCTTGAGTGCGGCATTATTAGTGCGTGTATAAGTGGAAGAGGCCTCAGCTAGACAAGCGATATAGCTGCAGACACTTAAAAGATGCTATTAGTCCAGTGAAAACTTACATGAAATTGCATTATGTTTGGGAGAGATGAAATCTTGTCTATTTTATGATTTTGGGTGTGCTGAATTCTATGCTGATCTTATTTTTTACCTGAAACATCAGGAACAGGGTGAAAATCGAGAGTGAAAGAGTTTTTTGCTCATATCTCGCTAACGAAGCAAGATAAAGAAAAATTAATTGCACCAATCGATTCCTCGCAAAATTTTACGAGGTAAATTACTGTATCTTGCTTCGTTCGCGAGATATGAGCGAAAAACTCTTTCACCCTCGATTTTCACCTTGTTCCTGGTGTTTTAGGTAAAAAACAACATCGGCATTGAATTCAGCGCACCCAAAAACATAAAATAGACAAGATTTCATCTCTCCCCAACAAAATGCAATTTCATGTAAGTTTTCACTGGGCTATACTATATCTTTTACGGACTATTCCGGCTATGCGAAAGAAGAGTGCAACTGTTATTCTGAAAATATTCTGCAGACCACGTCAAATTAAATAGTCCTTCGAAAATGGCTCGATTTTTGTACCAGACATTTCTATCCGTCACCGCAGCGACTGATGCATGGCTCTGTACAGCAGCGGCAGCAACCTTAGCAACGAGTCGAAATTTCTTATTTTCATCTCACTCTTTGAGACATGTATACAAATTAAGAAAAGATCTTAATCTCACTCTGGTAGACTGCATGTACGTATAGAGAAACGTACATTAACGTACGGCTTATATAATAACTTACGAATGAGAAGCGAAAAATCAAGTGTATAACCACACCTACGTGGAGTACAGCCCATTGAAGAGTATGTTTCTTTGGCTCAGTCGAGAGCAGCAGAATCTCTTTTTCCAATCAACGCGCGAGTTGTAAGCGGGGCATCTCTCTGCATCTGCTACATTTTTATCCACGTGGGACGACGACGCGCGAATATTTACGCACGCTAGCAGCCAAGGCACGCTGCTTTTTCACTACATCGCTGCAACTAGTTCGCAGTTGTGTATACTTGTATTTTACAGAAAATGCAGAGACTAATGTCGTGTACTCGAATTCGTATGTGCAAGGCACCAAGGTCTTCTGCCATTTCAGACTACTTTATAATAATATTTTTCAACTTTATCTTTTTTTTGCTCACTGGCAGATACACGAGCCATTGTGTAGCGATTGCATTTGTGCTTAAAATTTTTTTCTGTCCTTGCCGTTCCCCTGCCCCTATTATTATGCTTTATCAAATGGAAGCAAAATAAAGTTTGCAAGGTGTCCTCAGGAATCATTTTGCTCTTGTAATCGTTTTGCTCTAGAGCGTACAATTCCTATAAAAGTCCAGTTAAAAAAAAGTGTATTATGTTATATGTATTATAATGTTCACGATGATGATTGTATAAAGTTTTAAAATATTTTCGAAACCACTCTGAATTCAAGCCTCTTATCACTGCGCTCAACTTATCGAATGTTGAAATTATTTCCTTCAAGGAAAAAAATAAACCATGCCTATAATCCTTCACGTCTCCAAGCGTCACGTTAAAGTTCTTTCTTATGGATAAAAATGTGCTACTTTTCTGTCCCGTTAAACTTAGATAACAGCGTGTATATTTGCGAGCTGTGAACGGTCACCAATGCGCGGGGGAGGTTCCACGTATCGTTCAACGAAATCGATCCGTTATAATATACTTTTACTGCATTACCCAGCAGCAATACAACAGCAGCAACCTTATACGACCATATCTAGTAAACGTGTGGCTACGTAAATGCTTATATATAAAAATTGATATTCTTTCGCTTTGTTTGACAAAGGATAATAGCTGCTTGTATGGCTTGCTCATACGTGTGCAATACACGTGCGATATCGCGTACGCCGAGAGCTAAGATTTTACATCTGTGTCACGAGAGTTGCCTTACGCAGATGCAAATCACACTTTATACTGCTCAAAACAACTCAAATTATCATAAACATATATTTCTTTTCGACTTATACCACTTTTTTATCCCATATTTTACGATTTGTCGTTCAGATGTGCTGCATGTATTTTCCTGCTCAAGGAGGAAAAAATGAACTTCGTGATAAAAATAAAATGTTTCTGAAATAATAATACATAATCTTTTGTCCTTATAAAATGTTTTGTCCAATTTAACCATAGACTACTTAAGCATAAAAATTATAGCTTTCTATATTTTCTTCTGGTAAAAATTATTAAATTAATTATGTTGTACAGTTATTAATGCTCACGAAAAAATAATAGCATTTAAAGATTTCTTGAAATGAACAATAGCTCATTGCAAGTCTGAACATTTTTATTATAATTGTTAGCTCACGCAACCTAGAAATGCGTAGTGTGCTGCAGGTCGCTCTACTGTCAGGCGGAATGATACAATCCAAAGTCATTGGTCGCGTATTGAGTTAATTTTGAAACATTACATTTTGAACAAATGATACTAAAAAAATATTTAAATTTTCTTGGAATATTCAAATTTAAGTGAAAACTAAGATTCATCACAAGGGTTTCGGAATATTTTCATTATTTATTGACATGAAAATTTTTGACTGAATCATGTACAAACAACGTTAAAACAATTTTTAATAACCATTATTTTACAATAATAAATATGAGATGTATCATTTATATGCGATAAAACTCTCTCACAAAGTAGATTCTTGTATTACTCAGCTTTTTTACATGGGCCCTCGTGCTTAACTCCAATATCTGTAAATGGTTTTTGATTAAGCATTAGTTAGATTATCCTATAATAGTTATGTTACCTAAGAATGAGCACTGGTTATGACATCTCAATTCAGACTCATTGCTGTAAGTTTCTCCGTCGGTACCACAAATTTCACGCAAATGATGCAACAAAGCGCAAGGACAAAGTCGGGGTTGGTCTTTTCTACATGGTCCTGCATGTTTCATTTCAATGTCTGCAGAAAAATTTATTTTAGAAATCGAATTATAAATTATAAGAAAAAGGAGATGTGCAACAAACTTGACTTTTTGCAGCTATTTTGACATTTCAGCTCTGAGATGTTACTATAAGTGTGACCATCAGTGCCACAAACGTAATTGAGATTGAGAGTCACCATACAAGGTGGGCAAGGTTCTGCTTCTTGATCCTCTTGAATTGGCTGAGCACTCGAAATTGTGATGATAGTAATGACAACTATAGAGAAAATTAATCATTATTAAAAGTGTACCATAAAACTATCGATTACTAAAACATAGATTTAAATAATTTTGAATTAATTACTAGAGTTTATCGATTAAAAGATTTAACTACATACGTAGAAAAACACCATTATAAAATTCTCAACACTCTAATCAGTAAGAATTTGACTATAATGCAAGACACTGGTATCGTTTAATTACGAAATATCTTGCACAGCTGTGTATTTTATACACTATACGTGTGACCAATCTATGTAATATTTTTTACATTTTAATTGTAAAATATACCTGAAAAGGGTCAGAAAGACCGACCAACACTTCGTGGCAATAAGTACTTTTGTCACTAATTTACTATTGCCCACCAAAATTAATAATTGATAACCCTCCAACTATGTTGAAACGTGTGATTTTACACCTTGATGATGTCAGTGTCAAATTTTAAATCAATATTCATGGCGCAAGTAGCTTTCAGTATGTACAATAACAATCAACGACCACTAGAGTCTTATGACCTTACGTGAGAAAAATAAATCATTATCTTTTGAGATGTATGAAAAGTCCTTGAAGGATGCAACACACAAAAGCGATAAAAAAAGTCTAAAATATTAAAATATTTTAATACAAAATTTAACACAAGTAAAGTATATAGAGTCACCTAGCCTGTGAATGAAAAGCTTCAAAAAAACGTTGCTTAAATTTAGCTCAAAACAACGTTTTAAATAAATTAAAGGCTATTATTCAGATGGATTATAATAGTAAATGTCTTTATCTACTGAATAGAAATTTTTGCAGAATTTTTACTTTCAACTTTCATTAATAAAATAACATATAAGGGAAACGATGCACCGGTGAATGAAACATTTTTACCAATAAATGAAACCATTATAATTAATGATAATATATTCAAAAAGTTGTTAAAAACTATTGAAATATTTAGCATTGATGCTCAATTATATTATAAAATTTCACTACCAATGAATTAGTTCAGTATAATTAAATTATATTAATTTATAAATAAAGTTTCATTCACTGGTGCGTTTTCAATCACAGGTGAGGTAACTCTACTTGGTATTATACAATATTACTGATTTTTTAAATTTCACTATAATTTAATTTTTTTTACAAATTTAATCATTATTCAAAATTTATTTTATCGTGGAAATATTTGTATAAAATTACTTACGAATAGAGTAAATCATGCACATTTTGGCCATTTTTATTATTTTTTGATGACTTTTTAATAAACTGTTATTCTACAATGACAATCAGTAGTCAACTGGCTAAATAATGTCTTTAGCAAGTTAACTTATAGTGATGAAAGTGATTCTTTGACCATCCCTCCTCTTTATAAAAGTAGAAGCTTTGATGTGGTGGAACTATATATATTAGATATATGGGGCGAAATTGCTCAAAACTCCAAGCGCCTCGCGCAACAGCGTTTTTGAGCGAAATTGCTCAATTTCTAACTCGCTCTAAAAGTACCAAAACGAACCTAGAAAAAATAACCAACCAGTCATTTCGATAGGAAATTTGCTCAGCTTTCCGATGGTGAGGTCCAATTTTCCGTAATTTTCCATTTTCTCCTCGGAAAATGCAAGTAAACTTTAAAACTCGAATATCTCAAAAAGTGCCTTTTTTGTCGTTTTTTATTGTTTCAGTGGAAAGCTGAGGTCTTTTTACACAAAAAAAACAGTTGTTTTCAAAGTGTAAAACACATAATTTCTATGAGAGATAAGAGCAAACATAGTCGGCGCTCAGCCGTCCGGCCGCCTGGACGCGCGACTCGCGGCTCGCTGTAATCGCAACTCGCACAAATGACAATGTAATTGAACTAGAAAAATTAATAAAAATACCATTTTTATGCGTTTTTTCCTCAGTTTTCTCATGGTGTAGTCGAATCTTTCGATAATTTACACATTCACTAGGAAAAATAGGAAATAAACGTTCAAGTTTATTTTTCCGTACGAAAATGAAAATTATCGAAAAATTCGACTACACCACGAGAAAGTTGAAAAAAAACGCATAAAAAACATATTTTTATTAATTTCTCTAGTTGAATTACATTGACATTTGTGCGAGCTGCGAATACAGCGAGCCGTGCAAGGCTCGGGAGCCGCGAGTCGCGCGTCCAGGTGGCCGGACAGCTGAGCGCCGACTATGTTTGCTCGTATCTCTCATAGAATTATGTGTTTACACTTTGAAAACAACTGTTTTTTTTTGTGTAAAAAGACCTCAGCTTTCCACTGAAACAATAAAAAACGCCAAAAAAAGGCACTTTTTGAGATATTCGAGTTTTAAAGTTTACTTGCATTTTCTGAGGAGAAAATGGAAAATTACGGAAAATTGGACCTCACCATCGGAAAGCTGAGCAAATTTTCTATCGAAATGACTGGTTGGTTATTTTTTCTAGGTTCGTTTTGGTACTTTTAGAGCGAGTTAGAAATGGAGTAATTTCGCTCAAAAACGCGAGGCGCTAGGAGTTTTGAGAAATTTCGCCCATATGTATCTACAAATAATACTTAATGTGAATCCTTACCCAAATTCAAAAAGAGAGTAGACTTTTTTAATTCTATAATGAATTCATATTTTATTACCAAGTCTAAAACAAGTTTTTAATTCATTTGATATTTAAATTGCTTGGGTCATGATCAAAATAAACTTAGTCTGAATGTTCTGTTGATCATTTCCAATTTTAAGCTGCGAATCGAAGGTGATTTTTTTGAATGTTAATTAGATATTTTATTTTGCAAATGCTTATTAAAATAGATTTGAAACAGAGATCTTTCTTTGGAACAATTGAAAGCCTCTTTTCCTTATCATTACTTCTATTTTGTGTTGTATTGAAACAATTTTTTTAAAACAGGATCAGCTTCGAAAAACTAGTCTCCTTTTGAGGGAATGATCCACGACGCTGATAAGTTTGAAAAATAGTAACTTCTAATTGAAAATATATTTTTTTAAAATGTCTTATTTAGTAATTTTTATTCAAACTTATTTCGTAGACAACAATAATTGTGTATATAACACATATGGAGCATCGGGAAACAATTTTTTTAAATCAAAATATACTTCACTTTAAGGTTTTTTAATGAAACGGTATGAAAAATTAAAGTTATGCTTTATTTATCATATCTTTAATGTTAAATTTTTTTATCGATTATTATCAGTAATCTAAATAATAATAATAAAATAATCTATTCATTGATCATAAATAGGAGATGAAACGAAGTATAAAAAAAATTCTTCATCCATTTTATTCCCATGGACTGTCACAAGGGCCCATGCTTCTAACTTGTACAGCTAAAAAATATGAAAAATGTTTTCTATTACTAAAATACTATTCTTATAATTACAGTGGAAAAATAATGTTGAACAATTCAAAACTTACTTTTCCTCAAACACTTATTGCTACATTCTAATTCAGAAATATTGGAATAAGTTTCTCCGTCAGTTCCACAGACATAAGTTAAATCATCAGTGGTAGCACAAATACAAGGTTTTCCTTCGGCATCAAATTCGGGAAGTGCAGCTTGCACTTTGAAAATCATTAGGCACAAAACTATAACTGAAACGCATAAAGTATATAATTATTATGAAATGATAATAATGATTTTATTTGCCAGCACATTTCTTTCAAGCAATTAACTTAAACTATATTACACAAATTTGAAAATTTTTGAACGAGTAATGAAAATCGAAATATTTAAAATTACTTTATTTTTCAGAGATTTATTGTATGTCTAGACCTTTTACAACTAATAAATTTCTCTTTATTTTAAAAACATACATCACTGTTTTATTTGTTTTTACTTATAAAATAGAAAATATTTTAGAAGCTTTTCTTTCATATAATTGTAAATAATGATATAATGAAATAACATCTCTAAAACACTAATTACATATAAATAACATACCCAAACGTTTTGAGTTCATTTACACTAACATAAAAAATGACATTAAATTAAACAATATATAACTATAATCTGATGTTATAATGACATTTATGTTGAAATATTAATTACCAATGGTGATGAAGATAACTGATTTTGCCATTTTGATAATTTTATGATGATCAGTATCAGACCGCGAATGTACGTCTAAGAGTAGATGCGGATAAACTGATTCGTTTGCGCAGTTACATACATGACGTGTGCTTGCAAAAAAAGAACATTCAATTCCCCACCAAATGATGTTTAGTTATACTCTTTGAGTCGTTAAAGACAGAGACTGGAAAAACCATTTTTTCATTTATCAATAAATTAATTTCCATTGTGATTGAAGAAAAAAATATTACTCGTGTTATCATTAGTATTTATTTATGATATAATAATCACATAAAATTTAAATGTTTTGACTCATTTTACAGAAGTCAACGCGTTTTTTTACATTTTATATTTGTAAACATTCCATCTTCCGATACCGAGCAATGATAAAATATAATTATGCTTCACAGTTAGATTTTCATATTACCGACAGCTCTATTACTCTGAGGTTATAAAAAAACTTTTTAAAAGCGCGCTGAGTAAACACTCTGATGGTATTCATAAGAAATTTTAGTTTTGCATAAATTCTCATGTAAATTTTATATTTTTTATATAATGAAATCATCTAATCTAAATTTTGAGCAAATTTCATTACTGTGCAACAATTGTTTGAAAAATGAAAAAGAAATAAGGCATTCAGGAATTATATGCAAATAGTGACATCATGAATTTTGTTATTTTAAAACCAATGCTATATCTTCCTCATTGAGGAAGGAGAGGAGAGAGAGATGTGTGTGTGTGTGTGTGGAACCAATGTAACTTTTGAACAGAGGCACCTAGAGAGACGCGGTTCAGTTTGTTTTGAAAGATCAGTATGTCGCAAGAAGCTCTAAAAATTTATTTAAGGATCCATCGAGTAGTTAATAAGTTATAATTGTTTGGAGTTTCAGTTTGGCAATTGTTTTATTAGCTTTAATACTTAAAAATCAGGAGGAAGCACTTTGCCATTGGATTGGCAGCGGGTTTTTGTGACAACAATAAACATACCATGTATATACTGTTTGTAAAAGATTTGAACTACTTCGTACATAAAAACAAAGAGGTAAATTAAAATGTTGACGGTTATAATTTATAGGTAATTTGATAACGAGCTATTGTATTTTCTCATAGCAGTTATTGGCCCTTTTTATATTTTTGATTATTGGGCTATAATTTTTCTCACTGTTCACATTTGAAGATATTGTTATGGACACCAATAATACTAAACAACTTAAATATTTATTAACATTTTCAATTATTGTACATTTTTTAAACGTGCATAACGTCTTTAAAATGTCATTAACAGTTATAAAATGTCACGATTTGAACTGGAATAAAGGTTTACAAAAGTATTAAAATCTTCCAGAGTTGTAACAATATTATTTTAAGTTTATAAAATTAAAAAAAATCGTAAGTAGAAGTTTATTCTTGACACAGTCCTTTGTGACGGACCTGAATATCTACAAAAGAAAAACAATCAATAACACTGAAATTTCATCATAATTTGATAATTATGTAAAAATTATACGCACTGCCTCCTTCGCACTCGTTAGCACATTTCAAGGTACCCTCATTTGGATAACTTTTTCCATTGGACCCACAAACTGGTAAAAATTCGTAGGTTGTAATACAATCACAGTTATTGTCAGCTTCCCCCTTTTCTCTAAATCTTATAGTTGTTCCTTGAATTATCAAAAAACTACTCATCAACACTAAATAACAAAAAAAAAACTGTTAAGTAACTTTTATTTTAGTCGTAATTTATTCGATAAGTTCACTCACCACACAAAACAACGAATAATTTTGTCATCTTGAAAACGGCAGTAAAAAACAAAGAAATTTATCGGAATCGAAACACCTGCAATGATGTGCCCAAACGATGATAACTAGTCTTTCTTCTGAGGATGTCAGCTCTTTTATAAGCGAATAGCTATTCCCCACTCTCATAAACCTCGCGTAATTTTTTCTCGCTAATCTCGCTACAAAATTTTGTACATACTTTTTAATGCGCATTAAACTTGGTGAAAAAATTTACCTGCAGGAAGTTCAGCAGACCCGTACATACATTACACCAATAATTAAGAAAAATTAAATTCAAGGATTGCTATAATGGCTAGTCATTTGTTCACATAAAAATTGTAAATGAATAGAATTGTTTATTTCTTTTGGATTTAAAAAATTAGATACTTTTGAATTCATCTGTTACATTTTTGAATAGGTCCATGTACATCTTTACCTTATGATTATGCACTTTCTATTTTTACATCTCACTGTGTCTTTACAGCACAAGGTTAGCCAAGCTCATATCGTTTTAAAACAATCATTCATGATACTACTTTAAAAGCCGGTATGATCAATTTCCTTAAAATAATATTTTCTCAATGTGGGAAGTTGATTTTGTATATAAAACATATGCAAAATTAGATGTGTTGAAATTAACTTCTATTAGCAATCAAGTTTGTATACGAAATCAACCATTCAATACTAAAATATATAAAAATATATTATGCAACTGTTTTATGATAAATCGACAACAACCACAGACCTCTCGATAAGTTTTCTAAATTGTTACTTAAAAACAATGATAACCGAAAAATTTGAATGAATGGAATAGCTGAAGTGTGGACAAGTTTGTGCTACTGAGTAACAAGTGAATGGAAGACAAAATCGCTCATCACACAATTGTTTCTATTTCAAAGTCACTTGTAATTATTTTCATTTTTCAGAATAAGTTGTAGTAGTATTTGTCATCGACCGAGCGTTGTACGTGACAAAACATAATGAAGTAATCTCTACAAGAAAAATGTCATTTGTAATTAACGTAATTGCAGGAACAATTGATTTTTGAGAAATTTTGATTGAACATGAAAATTAGTTATGAATATTGAATTATATTTATGATTTAAGACATTTAAGACTTGTTTACAAGTTTAATCAATTAGAAATATATGTAACTTGAAAAAACTTTCAAAAAATAGGTCAACTTGTTAATGCATTAGCGCAGGCAATTTTTCACTATCACTGATAAAATATTCGCATTGTTGGAATAAATTGTAACGTTAATGAAGGTCATTGTATAAATAATCGATTTAAAAATGACCATTCCTCAAGTAATGCCATCGCATGTAATTGTTACGTCTTAATTAACGTTAAGATTATAAATTCCCATTTGAAGTTAATGAATTAATAATAATTTCTACTTTTTTATAAGTTGACACGTGTAAATAGATTACGAATCGAATAAAACTTTCATCCTTGACCACAATAAATTTTTTGAAATCATAATCGTCGAATTGCATCTTTGAACTGAAAAAGTAGTTTTTGTCACTGACTTTGGAGACATACAATTGTACTACTATAAATGCCTATGATGACACTGCTCCATAAATAAGCCGATACTTTCGTTACTTAAAAATATCCGCATTCAACTTGTCATCAATATTTTTCGAAAGTGCGTATGATAAAAATTGCTCAGTAGAAAGTCTCAGGATCGTATCATCAGTGAAAACAGAGAATACTGAGAAGCCGGACATGTCAATTCATTATTATCAAAAATAAGATTTCCCCCTATGGTTCTTGCACATAAAGCAATCTACATTGACTTTTTAAAAAAGGTGTAGGACCTATATGTAAAGTTTCGTCGGATAAAGTGCGAATAAAACTTCATCATAAGCCTGAAGAATGTACCTTTGTTGTAAGGTTACAGTGCCTAAGAAATAACAATTGGCAGAAAACAAACGATCGTAATAAACTTATTCTGTTTTTCTCACACCTTTTCAAATTTACGGTCGCGTGCCTCAAGTTCGACTTGCTTTATAATGCTTCACGAAACTTTCGCACTCGAAATCATATTACGTGTGCAAGCGTGACGAGAATTTCCCCTGTATAGCCAAGTACATTCAGTGATGTATCGCTTTAAAGCTGCCTTCTCATTTTTCGAAATTTTCTCATTTTTTTTATCTGATAGTGGAGTGTATTTTAAAAGTAAAGTGAGCGAACCGCAATTTTTGGCGTGTAAAAATTTTATCAAAATTAATAATCGTCCTTCGCTTCGACTGCTCCACGATTGTTCGCAAAATTTTTTATTAATCATTTTTATTTTTAAGAATGACAAACGTAAAAATAACAATAAACAATGATCTATTTCGAAAACAATACCCTCATTTCCAAGGTAATAATTTGATTAAATAGATCTCAAACACGGAAGTCGGATGCAAAATTTTCCATTTACTGGCACACAAGAAATCGTCGTTCCTCCCTTTTAAAAAGCTGCAATGCAAACTCTATACTATAAAAGAGAAACAACAGCATACTCAAAGTTAAGCGCAAGCGAAAAAGTCGAGCAAGCAAAAGTCGGACCTGCTACGAGTCATGCGTAAAAAAAGTAACGCGAGCACATCTCCAGGAAAGTGTTTTACAAGCGTCACGTATCAACCTCCTCTTTTGGTAACGTTTTTCTTTTCTCTCTCCCTCTCTCTCTCTTTCTCTGTTTCTCTTTTCTTGCCTTTTTTTCACTTTTTTACAAGATGAAAAAAAATCATATGCGCATCACTTAATACCCGTTATTTTTACACGCTCCACTCGCAGCACATTTATATATAATTAAACATATTCGTTTTCGTTCGTGCAATTATACTTTATTATGCCAATGTATATCATCAGCTGAACGTAAATTTTTGGTAGTCTTTTCTGCCTTTTTCCTCTCCGAAATTGATCGTTTGGCTTAACTTTGTTTGCCATTTTTATGCAATTTGGCTAGCGGGTATTACTCACACATATTTATGAATGGTTTGGCTCGCTTTCAGATGCGAGCATATGGGCAACTGTATGAACCTAAAGCGAGCTGCAAGATGTTAATTAGTTCGCAACGCCTTCACGGTGCTCAAACGTGCACGTGAGATTTGCACGTAAAATATTATATTTTCCTTATAATCGTCGATGAGTATCGCACTATAAACCACCTTAAACATACATACAGTTACTTGCTGGCTTGTTTACCAGCAACATGCTTTAGAAGTAAGTTAAATTATTTTTCCCTGAATTTTTAGGAAATACATTTTTTTAACTTTATCTAAACAGATAGTTATTTTCAAACTGATACATTTTATGCAACCCAGCATTTACTTCATCAAAATAGGAGTGCATAAAGTTGATTTCATAGATACACTCAAAACCGATGTACAATCTGATATCCTGATAAAATACTTGATGATTTTAGAGTAACGAAAGGTTTATAATATTTTGATTAAAACCGATAAATCTATACGCTAGATTAGTTCCGGTATCGGTGTCCATTATTTTTTACGAATTGCATAAAGATAAATTGAGTTATCAAATTTGCGTCATAATATGAATATGCCTCGCACCATCCTCAATATCATTTTTCTACTCTTTTCGTGTCATCATAAATCCGAATTTTTTACTTTTCGTGCAGATCTAATCAATTTAAATACTGCTAGCGTAATTTCGATTTTGCTAGTCGATGTTTCGTACCATTGTCCAAGACGTAGTCTGTACAGTAAATTTCTTGGCGCAACAGAAATCGTGAGCAAACTCTCTGAAGCATTGGCCATAGGCAGGCGTTGACGTATGTATGGACTAATTGCAGCTATAGAAGCGCGAGTAAATATATCTGCGCCTGCCACTGTCGAGCGCGCGACCCACCTTTATTGGAATAAATATAGAGAAACTGCTTGTGTACGAGTGCCGCACTTTGATACTCTACTACTAACATAGGGTGTGGTATTTTACATTTTATTGTGTAAATGTCTTTTCGAAAATCCAAATTCTCTTACTTGTCAATAATCGCACGTGCACGGGCTAAACTATTGCAACTATTGTGTAAGAGTATCGCAAGACTCGCGACGTCCACGGCTTTCGTAGCGATTGCGCCTTTTTTTTCCGAGTAATTGTAGGCGTCAACACGTACAAGAAATCGTGTATCGGATTTTGGAAATTAGAGGAGTATTTCGAAGCTGTGAGTCGCGAAACGAAATCGAGATTCTCGTAACGTTTGGAAGAAAAATAAGAATGCAAGCACGCGTCATAGAGTCGCCGCAAAGAGCATAAAACTAATCGTACAAGGACCTCGCCGGCAAGTGGCTATGTTACGGTTACGCTACGCACACACACACATGTGTGCATGCGACGACCAAGTGCAACCAGTTTTTCCATGAGCCTACATTCCTCACCGTCCAAGCCGTTGCTGCTGCAGTGCAGATGAGCTGGGATGACGAGACACGCATGCAGGCGTGCGATCAAGACGACAACAAAAAAGCCATCAGAAAATGTATACGCGAGTGAAAGGGCGAGTCGCGCGAGTGCATTGCCGGCAGAAGATCTCGTTTTCTATACTGCAAGTCAATGCAATGGACATGATTGACGAATCGAAAGTGAACTCGCACCTGCGCCGAGAATAAACATCAATGGCAAACTCCTATATAAAATCCAAGCTCGGTGAAAAGGTATGTTTGCTTCGCTCATTAAAAGTCTCTGGTTTATCCCTCGTTACGAGCTTGGAAAACTCAAAGCCAAAAAAGTACTGAAAATTTATTTTAATTGCATTAAAAAAAATAAGCTCATCGAACTTCCGAGCCAGATATTTTTTTATTATGTTTGAAATTTTTCATACCTGTAATCTGCGCTCTTTTTTATTTTCCAATCGAAAAAAATAAGGCATAAAATAAGTAAATATTGATACTTGATGTATAGTAATATAACACAGCATGTGACACCTAATCACTCTCTAGTGATTAAAATTTACTGCGTCTATACGCGTTCAATTCGCGCCGCATTGGTTTAAAACAAGTTATTTAGTGAACACGTATACACAAGGCCATTGTTTGGGTCGAAAATTGAACGGTGCGAGCTTTTAATCCCAATTATCGAAAGCACCGCGGTAAAAAAAAACGGCAAAGAAGATTGTTATTATCCGTCGGTATTATCGCTCGCGAGTGAGACAATCGTTCGAAAAAAAATCAAACTTGTTGTCGATAATAGCGACCCGAATTTTACACTTTCTTCTGCATTTTTCGGATGAAACAATCTTTCCAAAACGTATCTACAGATACGTCACAAAAGGCGAAATAAAAAAAAAGGGAAGTCGCTGTAGCCGTTCCAATATTACAAGAAGAGTTTTTTTACACTTAAGCATGATCTTCCATGTGAACATTAAATTTCACTACAATTATTCGTCACGGTACATTATGAGATAGTCAGCGCCCTTCCACTGCACTGCTCTCTCTCTCTCTCTCTCTCTCTCTCCTTTTTCATAATTAAGATATGGAACGTAAATTACTTTTTATCATCCCCATATACGTACAAGCAAGCAAATGAAAATCTTGTTGACTGGTAGATATTCAAGGTCGTGCATTATAGATAGCCTTTATAGAACAAAAAAAGTATAAAAATATCGGCATTTCTCTCACCACTAATGCGCTCCGATAGTTGGATGAATAATTAATGCAATAATCGTAGGGATATTATCTGAGAGCTCGAGAAAGTTGCATATTACAGGCGGCAATATATCTATACATATATATACAATGCAACGATGTCGGCACTGCTTCTATGAAGCCGTTGACAACGGGATGAACGAGTTGTCGTGATCATCGTTTAAAAACTGTAGCGAGGCTCGTGTCTTCGTAGTTTAAGATTGAAACAAATTATTAATTCACTTGAAATTCTAGGTTACTTGGTATATATATTGTAAAAAATTTCCATTCCTGGTAATGTTTATGTTAAATTTTTAACAATTTCTAATGGTATCCAAACTCGAATTCATACAAAAATCATGCAATTTATGGCGCTTTTTATGAGTTTTGAAGTTCAACTCATCCTAATTTCAATTTTCAAATTCTAATTACCAAAAAGCCCATCGAGCTTTTTTATCCATATCATCACCAAGCAATCCTCAGAAACTGCGTACTTTTAAAAAATTTTATTGAATTGCGTGCGACGTTATCCGAGCCTTCCACGCTCTTAAGAAAAATTCAACTAGTTTTTAGTATTTTAACGACTTTTTTATAAAATCCCCATTTGCCATAAAAATATGTTTCATCAGCTTTATATTGAAAATGTACTTTTTTAAATCTTCGAAGTTCCTCTCCCGAATTTGATGGGCATTACTTTTTTAAGTGTTTGAATCACTTGCAAGTCCCAAAAAAAAATTTCACGAGTTTGCTCTAAAAAAAAATTTTTTTTCAACAGTAAAATATTAAAATTTCACGAGATTTATTCATATAAGTAAACACGCTCTAGTAATTGGCAATTTATAAAATGAGACACTTGAAAATTTATATTGTTTATATTAATAACGATTTTAAATTTTTTAATTAATATTTCATATTTCTTTCACATGAAACTTTATATTTGATTGAAAAGTACTTGAAAAAAGTAACTGATTCAATTATGTAAGAAAATTCTAATGTGCACTTTTAGACCTACATATATATTACATCCAAGAAATTTATAAACATTGTTTATTTATTCCCTGCACGATTTTCGGAAGAGTTCAAATTTTTAGAAATAAAAATAAATCTATTTTTAAGACAGAAAGTTATGTGGTGGAAATACCCTACAAACAGGAGCATGTATATACTCGTTGGGGACCACTTAACTTTAGCAGTATTCACTCGAGAGAGAATGTCTCGTACTTATAAACTTGTGTACGCCCGTTTGTGGTTGGCTTTTGTTTTCTTCTTCCCCTCGATTTTTGGCCGAAAAAATGCACTCTTGAGGCTTTTTAGGCCATACATCTTTTGGATGCATCTTCTTTGTTGTGACCCACAAGTGGGTGTGAGAGAGAAATACAGGATCTAAAGCCCATACCTCATTCTTTCAATCTCTTCTCGCGCCAAGTACACACGTTGATGTTAAGGTCGACAGTCCAGATACGTTTGGAAATAACCGTATATATTTAGTGTATGCGCGTGTGCGTGTTCATTTGAAAGACAAAATTTATCGTATGCGGGTGAGAGAGTATGTGTGTGTGTGTGTGTGTGTATTTTAAAATGTTGCTTTTTAATTTCAATGACTTCGAAGGTATTATAAAGAATACTTAAATGTTTATCACGTTCAGCCTACTGACTTCGCACATTTTATGTAAAATACCTTATAATGAAAGGAAAATACTTTGTGCTTTGTTTGACCTTCAAAAAGGGACCAAACTAATTTTTGATATTTTAATGAAACTATAATTGTAATTTACTTGAACTACTTTTTTTATGGTTTTCTTTTCTTTACTATAAAGACATTTTTTTAAAAACACAAATCTAGAATTTTTGGATGTAATTATTGAGAAATTCTTTATTAAGTTCTTTTTAAAAGCTCATGAGCATTGGTTATGATGATGAACGGAGATTGAAAATGTTATGTCAATTATGCAAATTCAAATACTGATTCATATAATATTTTTTAAACAGTCTCACACACACACACACACACACACACACACACACACACACACACACACACACACGTGCACGCCAACAATTTTATCAAAAGTTTACGTTTAGTCTCTGATTGATCAAATATTATTTTTCCTTGCATTAAAATTCAACGGTATACAATCTTTATGACGTTCTAATCTTTCTTTAAGAAGCGTTCCGTAATATAATATATGCACATTATGTAATTTATATCTAGAAAGATATTTTAAACGGATTACCTAGCTACTGTTAATAAATGACTTCTTACTTGAAACGAATCTTGCAAGATTTGCATTTCTGACACAAAATACTAACGATAAATTGTTATTTTATATAATGATAAGATGTACATTATTAGATAATAAGATACTCATTAATTTAAGTACATTTAAAATGGTGTTTATTTTCACAAAACTTTTATTCTCAGTATAAACACCTTAAAATTTCTCTTAAAGAAACTTAAGGCACGAAATGAAAAAAAAATTAACGAAAACATATTATCATGGTGAATGTATCATCGTTTTCTCCAAGCTTAAGGTTTAAAATGTGAATCTCTGTTGCCCAAAAAAATCTTATCAAAGCGTCAATCGACACACGTATTTGTGACAATTTTTTTTTTAAGTACAGAGACAAAGAATTTTTATTTTGTTTTATATCTGAAAAAAGATGTTTGATAAAGATTTTGACCTTTTAGGAAGATGCGCGATTGTTTAGGCCTGCTCGAGTTCGCAGAAAGAGAGAGAGAGAGAGAAAGATTATCAAGTGACAAAAGTAAATCATTTAATTAAAAAAAAAAATCCGAGCATTGTTTTAATGTCCAGAATTGAATAAATATAATTTAAATGTACTGCAAAAATTTAAAAAAAAAATTTTTGTTTTTAAGAAATCAGAATTTTTCTTAGCCCATTAATGTTAATTTAATATGAGCGTTTTTTCGTGGCTAGTTATCAATGGTGCGAACAAGTAAAACTTTTTTTGTCAAAATGACTCATTAAATAACCTTGGATTTTTAAAGAATTTTTTGAAGTGGCAAAAAATGACACTTTTGCCCTAAGTAAAAAGTAAAAATAAATTATCTAATAAATTATTGGAAAAATCTATTGAGAAGACAAGTATAATGATTTTTCGAACGTAGCTTATCGAATGATCTACTGCGTGTGCATAAATCAGCAATGCACGCGCAAATTACGCGATAAGACGCGACATCACGCATATCATCAATATTCCCGACCAATTCAATGGCATACGTGCGCATTCTTAAATCGAAAAACCTGAATAAATCTTCCCTTCGCTCTCGGATTCGAATTCATTGACCTATATACAATTGCACGCCACTTTGTAAGTCATTAAAAATATGCATTGTGCACACGCGCAAACACTCGATTGTTTGAATTGCGAAGAAATTTTATTTTTAAAACGAATTATCTGATACCGTTGCGTGCACGCGTGAAATTTCTCAAATTTTTGGTGGTGGAAAGGCCGCGCTTCGTTGGCTACTTCATACTCGCAGCAGCTATATATAAGCTCCAGTCTGCTATTGTAAATTTTGTAAAGTGTACTAGCCTTCGAAATGTTCCTCAAGCTGTTATTTTTCGTTTGCTTTGCGATTTGCAGCATCGATGGTCGGTGTAGCATTTGACTATTTTGAAGGCCCCTCTCTTGTTAATTCTAATTTCGCTGGCAATTATTGAATTGATACAGGTGCCAACATCGATCGCGTCGGTGTCGAACGCATCAACGGTGGCGACAGCGCTGATCCTGCCAACTATGGATACCACGTGGCAATCCTGTACCTTGACCAAGAGTCAGAACACCTTGTGCATCTTTGCGGTGGTGCTATCATCGACAGTCGATACGTTTTGACGGCAGCCCACTGCGTTTTTGGCAATCACAGCAGCGAAATCGTCGTTCGTGCCGGTGGTAACCAAGCGCCCGAACTGGACAAACCTTACCTAGAGCAACGCGTCTTCCGCAGAGTAAGCCAAATCGCATATCCCAAGAATTATTTCAAGGACGAGAGATACCATGAATACGACATAGCCGTACTTAAGGTAATATAGCTGGAATGCCAAAGAGTTGAAATTTTTTTTGGCCAGTTGAGCATGCCTTGACTCGTTGTGCTGTGTCTTGCTTTGAACAGATCAAAGGGTCGTTCGATTTGATCGACGAGGAACATTTTAAGAAGCTTTATCTACCGTCCTCGAACGCGGACTACGTAGACAAAGTGGCAGAAGTCAGCGGCTACGGAGTTCACGATCCGGCTGACCTCGACGGCAAATTGGAGGGCAATAATTTCAAGACACTCCGCACTAGGGTCATATCGACGAGCCAGTGTCAACAGTCAAGGGCTTTCTTACTTACGAGCGGTAGTCTTTGCACTTTGTCGAACACCAATTACGGACATACTTGCTACGTAAGCATTGCTACGATAATATATTGTCCTGTGCTGCCTCGAATTTCCGCTCGGGTCATTTGTAACTCTTTACCGTCTCTCGGCTGCTTGAATATTTCTTTTTCTTCTTTCAGGGCGACGGTGGCGATCCACTCGTCTACAATAACGAAATAATTGGAATTTTGAACGCTCCCAGCAGTTGCGACAAGGATACGCCCGAGCTTTTCACCAAAGTCTCCAAGTACGCTTATTTCGTACAAAAAATCCTCAACGACGAGTACGCTTATGACGTAGTATATGCTTAAATTGACAAAAATTATATTTCATTCTGTGTTTTCTGAGAATAGCTGTATGTAAGATAATCCATCTAATTTTTTAATAAATTTTGTATTCTATTATTAGTAAGCGCTGTTGTGTTTATTTTTAACGATTTGAGTGTTTATCTCAATGACATTGTTTCGTACCGAAGATCTTATCTCTTTTCAGCTTATTTTGAATTAAATGAAATCGCGAGCGACAAATGTCTTAGTTTGTCCACTCTCTAACGACTCGACACTTGCCTCGAGTAAGCCATAATTTTTTCGCTCCATTATCTATATATGACGTAGTAATGCAAAAGAGTGAAAAGCCTGCCCAGAGCTGCACCGTAGCCCTCACTTTCTCCCCGAACTTTTCACAAAATGACTAAATTAATTTATACAAACGTTTCTTCTCGTACTGTTACTGTTTAAAATTTTTTAGGAATTTCGTTTCAAGTATTGTACATTCGCTCGCGTGTTGCGTTGATTCTAAACGTTAAAATAATGTAAATGGCCGGCCATAATATCAAAAAGCAAAATTAATTGTTACATTATTTCACGTTAACTGATTAAAAGATTGAAAATTTGATCTTGTTTTCTTGACTTATTTATGCTTTGTATGTAAGCACGAATCAGATAATGAATTACCGAGTCGAAACGATTAAAAAGATATTTTTATTTGCTATGAATGAAAACTCTACTAGCTTTAAATAATTTTAATTTTGTTATCCGTTATTATGCATACCAAATTTTATGTAGTAGCGTATAAAGGACACAAACTTATAGAAAATTCGAGAATATTCCCAAGAACTCGCTCAGGTTTGAATAATGATAATAATGAAACCAACGCCTCTCCTACTTTTATTTATAAATGCTAATAAAAGAACTAATTTTCCTGCTTTTCTTTTAAAATTTCTACTCATATATTTCGAAAACCACTTAAACTTTATAAAAATGGATACTTTAATTTTAGAAAAATGAGAAAAAAAACATTTTTATTCTCACGATGTAACTATGTGATTAATCGATGAATCTTAATGTTATTTGTCATAAATTGAAGTTTCACTGCTCATTTTTAGAAATTCGTGATCAAATACTCAAATGAATTACTTCATCTTTTCAAAAAATTAGAAAAAAAATTTAATTAAAAAAAAATCGAAAAATCTCAATAACTTTTGATATATTGCACGAATCGAAATGAAACTTTTTCAGGCTGCATCCTTAACCCAATCGACAATAAATGCAGTTTATTTCAATAGCATTTACTGTCCCATTAACATAAACGATTATGCCATTAATAAAATTAACACTTATTCATATTTTCTTAATTTTACAGTAAAACAACGAAAAGTAAATGAAAGAGTATAAAATAATAATTTTTATTATAATAAACGATCTATAAATATAAAATGATTATTATTTAAAAAGTTTAAAACTACTGCAGTAATTCTAACTTAAAATACTTTTGTACGAATGCTATCAGTCTCAATATCTGCCATAGCTGCCTTAATGAATGGAAGGAAGGTGGACACCCTTGTGTAAATAGCAGGTGCATTGTCTTCTCTGCATCCGAGCGGACTGCTGCTTACTAGTCCAATGAGCGTGTTATCTCCGTAAACTAGAGGAGCACCACTGTCACCCTACGCAAAAGAACGAAAATAAAAAGTCATAGGATAAATTTTTTAGCTGGGACTCATGAAACATTTGTCAAACTTACTGAGCAAACGCCTTCGGGTTTATCTTCATCGTGCTGATGCAATCGAGCGCAAATCTGCCTCGGACTTATTCGCTTGCCCGGGTAAGATTCTTGACAAGCAGATTGAGACAAAATATCGGCATTGGCATATCTAAGATTTCCATTTAATCTTCCTCCGTATTCCTTTTTATTTCCAAAGGAATCCTTACGAACATTCATCCAGCTCAAACCAAATCCAGCTACGGTAGCTGTTTGACCAGCGAATGAACGACCAGGTGTGGGCAGATTTAATTTTTCAATATTGGCGTTCTCTTCGAGGCCAAGAGGAGTTTTTAACTGTAAAAAAATAAATATTTAGAATTCATAAAGCATCAAAAAGTTGAGTGTGGAAAAGTTTCAATTTACCTTCAAAATAGCAACGTCTCCAATAGGATTGCGACGCGTGAAAGCTTTTAGTACGTAGACCTTCTCTACCATAGAGACAATCGAGTCTTTTCTCGAGTACAAACTAGTTAAACCCGTGGATACTCTCATGCGTGACCTGTCGAAAGAATCGTCTGCTTCGAGAACGCAGTGGCCAGCAGTTATGACATGATAGTCACCGATGATAGCGCCGCTGCAGAAACTTTGACCACTTAAAAACTCCAATGAGACTTGATACTTGAATTGTCCAGGTTTAGCTTCGTAACCCCCGACGATGAGTTCTCCTTTCAAGGCTGAACATTTTTTTAAATATGAATTATTTCAACACAAATTATATTTAAAAAAAATATCAATTAACTTACCATTACTCCCCGAAACATAGCATATAATCAAGCCGACAAGGCCGATGATATTTTTTAAGTGATGCATTTTGTCTGGTGCCGATGATCCGACCAGGAACAAAAACTGATATCAACTATTTTGATTTTGGCCACCAATACCTCTTTTTATGTATAAAAAAGGCATTCGACTTGACAATGATGCACATTTGCAATCGATAATGTTGTTTTGAAATTTGAATATGCTCGATTAAGTTTCAATTTGATTACAAAAAACGGAATTACGCATTTTGTATCGGAAAAAATTGAATGAACGAGTAAATTCCGTTAATAGCGTCATTATCAATACACTAATTGCTATTATTAAAAAGTTGCAAATAAACAAAAATCAATTACTTATTGTGCCTTTGTGAGATTTAAAACATTATATTTACTGAAAAATTGAATGAACACCATGAATAGTCTTTGTAACCGTTGTGTAATACTTTGCAATAATTTCTCATTAATTGTTTATACATTTGGAAACGTGTAAATCCTCGTGGAGTAATGAAAACATTGAAAAGTGTTACACGATTTATTATTACAACTGTACCAACAAATATAGAATTTGAAAACATAACTTATAGTGTCGCAATCTTCTATATAGATTATCTTATAGCCGAATGTATCATCTAGGGAACTTGTATCAATGGATTGGAAAGTGCTCATATTTATGATTAGACGGCTGCAAATAATTTTCAAAAAAACAAGAAAAATGAATCAATGCACGTTAAACTAGCAAAAAAGTCAAGAGTCATTTTTAACATTTATTCAAAATATCACAAACTAAGTAGAAGAAAGTAAATTATAATCCGTTAATTAAAGTCAAAATAGAATCACTCCCAGGCAGATTCCCCTGAAGATGATTTATTGAAAAACTTATCGCTTACAGAGAGCAATCAATATCGATTATTTAGAAAGTACACGCGCGCATGTGCTTGAGAGAGGTGAGCGAAAATTTGGCGACGCTCGTTTGTTTTTGTTTTTAAGGAGAATTCAATTTTGCGCCAAATCAGCCGTGCGCATCTGCAGCGTCACGTCTTTCATTGCGTTCCTGATGAAAGTGAGGTAAGACGATACTCTGGTGTAAATGGCAGGTTCCTTATTCTCGTCGCAGCCGAGTGAAATGCCACTGAGCACTCCGATTACCGTGTCGCCGTTGTAGACCAATGGACTTCCGCTGTCACCCTGCAAACATACACAGATTATACAGTCAAGAAATCGCGAGGCAAGATCGAAATCGAGTCGAGGAAACGACATACTCGGCAGACTCCTTGGGGCGTGTCGTCGGAAAACTCGATGATTTTGGCGCAGACTTGATCGTCGCTGACGTTGTGCTTGTAGTACCTCTGGCAGCGCTCGTTGCTCATGACGATTGCCACGGCTCGATTGAGTGTGTCGTTGGACGAACCTACCTCGTACTCGCTCATGTTGTTTGAGCTGGTCTTCACTTGGACATTGTTCCAGCCGAAACCAGATATGACGACGCCCTCGTCCACGTAAGTACGAAATTTTTCCTTGTTGCGACGTTTGTTGGGCCGGGGTAAGCGTAGTTTCATTAAATTACCATTGTTTCTCACATCTAATATTTGATTCAACTGAGAGAAACATAGATTCGTTGTTTGAGCCTGGTCGCGATGCAACTTTATACGATTGAAAATTCCGCTCCGCTGAAATTGAAACGTACCTTCAAAACGGCGATGTCACCAGGAGGAAGAGTCGACTTCCAGTTTTGGCTGTCGTTATAGATCGAGGGCACATAGATCCTTAGCACATCGACTCGAATGCCATTGGGGATGTTTAGGTTATTGGTTGCGGCCGCAATTTGGATGGGTTCCGTCTCCAGCTGATCTTGTTCATTGACGACGCAGTGAGCTGCCGTGAGAATGTGCCGGTCGCTGATTATACTACCTCCGCAGATGTGCGTATTATTCGATTGCAGCGACACGTGATAAGGAATCTCGTTGGCTTGAACCTTCCTGCCACCGATCAAGGATTCGGCTGTCCAGCTGTCTTCGGCTTGAAAGTTAACAAATCCTTTAGATATTTCGAAAAGGCCTCATCGATCGAATTCAAGCTTACCACGAGCTGAGCTGTGCGTTGTCGAAGCGAGCATAACAAAAGCTACGAGAATTTTTTCCCTGAAGCACTTCATTCGGTAAGAATTGATAGGAGCGACCGACAACGGAGTCATAGCTCGACTGTTCCTGTGAATAAAGTGCAACGTTTGACGCGCACTATCCAAGCTATAACGTTATAAAAAAAATAATCAGTGGCACGCGTTCTATGAATATTGATTTAAACGCGATCGTCAAACTCGTTGCTCTTGAAACCCAGAGAAGTCAGTTAATCACTCTGCTATTTTATTCTTTATAGACCTCTTTGAAAGCATCAAGGCTTGGTATTTGCCGAGCATCCATAGAATTCAAAGTATAATCAAGTCTATTTTCCAATATTTAAGCAGCTCGTACAATGCGTTCGCGTACGCGCGAGCACAAATAATATTTGAAAGCTGACTTCGTAATAACGGCGTATATTTCGACTTGAGCTTGTATATGGGCGATTCTCGGACTCGATCGACGCGAATATTGAAATAATTTGTAGCACAGCATAAAGTGACTTTAGGAAACAAGGTTCAATAGGCCTCTTTTGCTAGAAGTTGTCCAATTTTTCCGAAAAAAGTACTTTGAACCGGTGAGTTAACGGAAAATCGGCCATAAACGATGACGATCAACGGCAACTCATTAATCGAGTTCCTTCCCTGCGAATGTGCTCGGTGTCGATCGACCAAGTAGCTTTATCGATGACGCTCCATTTTTCACTGGCTCAAAAATGCGCTCCCGAGCCCAGACCCTACGAAAATGTAACGGTTAATTTAGATGAGCTGTTAGCCCTCAAAGCGTTAGCGCTATATAAGTGTCCATGTGTTATGTAACTCAAGCGCTCGATAACGGATGATATTGCGCAGATATCGCGATCATTGTTGCAAACTTTAATGTTCATATAATAATTATATGTTAAGTTAAAAAATTGAAGATCGAGGCTGGTTTGGCATCGGGCCAAAGAAAAAAGCACTTTATTAGTTCAGCTTAATACAGGTAAAATTTCATCAATGAACTTTTTACGTACTCGAAGAGAGGGTTTTTGACGATTGCCAATTGAATGAATCACTTGTCACATCACGCTATAATGACAAAAAATTTGATGCACTCATTGCATTATCGACTATTTAAAATTATAATTATCGTTGTAACTGATGTGTGAGAGGATAAAATATTGCTACTCGAGTTCAGCAAAACGGTTACGAGCATTAAGTAGTCAAGTATTATGGGTTAACTGCAAGTAAACGCTAGAATATCGTAGAAGCTATAAATGATTTGGTCTAGGCAGGTTAAATATTGACTCGTTGCGCGAGTATAGCGACCTTGCGCGAGCTTAGTGTTGAGTGAATTGCCGTGTCCGAGCATTAAACGCGATATTCTACTCTGCTCTCGGAATATAAGACGACTCGAGCATTATGAGAAACTACTTGGTCGAGCGATACTTATCGCGATGTAATGTTATAAGACGACCCAAGTGCTTGAAAGATTTTTCAAGCCTCCACGGAACGCGAGTCTCAAAGATATTCGGTGCCTTAATGATCTCAGTTTCGACGATTTTTCTTATGCCGTGAAAAATTTGCGACTTCTCACCGAGCTGTTAGCTGGCCAAATTCGCTCGTATCTCATAGCCGAAACCTTACCTAATTTAGCACTTACACGGAATGACCCTTTTATAAAGTTGACTCACGATTTTCCATTATCTCAGAGTTTCGGCTACATTCACCAGACTTTAGCCGAGTGCAATTTCAGATTTTTCGAGTGATAGCCTCGTTCGATTATCGTTGATAAGGAGCTTAAAACACCAGAGCTCGCACAATATGCGCAGCAGCAGCTAGCGATATTATGTACATCGATTGTAACAGCTCCGATACTTCCGCGTGCGCTATATCTACATTGGAAGATAAAAACAAAAACAGACTATTAGCCGTGCGAAGGAGTCGATACGCTGAAACGATGTTAGATTCCCTTGCAGCTGCGCTCACACGAGTTTGGCAGCCGATATATTATCGGCGGAACCAAGTCGAGGCTCGTCAGATATCAATGGGTATGCATTTTAATGAGAGATTCGATTCGATGGCCGGCTTGGTTCGGTCGAAAAAAACGATCCGATTTCGTATAGGCGCGTGTGGACCGGCCGAATTAAAATTTCGGAATCGACGCGATTCATTACTCGTATGTACGAGACCATACATCTCGATTCGTATCGAGTCATGATCGGTCGACTACGGGCGCCACTTATACTTTCACGCGCAAATATAGTTGCGCGTCTTAAATTGATATATACACGTATAGGAGAGGCACATGGCGTGTAATACGTATAGTCAAACTCCGGCCCGAATGTGTGCATATGTAAGTGTGCAGTAATGTGCTCATAACGCCGTGGGCGCCAGGGTACGCGCGCGGGCCGGAAACGTTTCGCGATCTGCACTGCTCTCTCGGCCAGCGCGAGCATTATGTGCAATTGATTCTCAAGCGCGTTTTGCGCTCGCTCTGGGCCTCAAGGATATACGCGCTTCAAGTTCTCTTCGGCCCTCTTCGGTCGGCGCAATTATTTTCTCAAGCATTGTAATGCCAACTTGTATATGTCTCGACGTAATAATTACGCCGCAGTTACAAATGTTTTTATTACTCGGATGTTTACGTGGATATGCTGAAACTCGTATACAAACGTATACGAGTAGGCGAGGCGCACGAAGAGAGCCTGGCGGGGGGGATATATTTATCTGTCGGAATCATCGTTTTTATACTCGCATCCACGAGCAGAGGGCCACCGTCGTACGCGATTACAATTGCGTATACACGTATGCCCGTGTACTCGCCCCTATCTCGTGGGCCTTATTAATACGTTTTCCCCGACAAAAACAGCTTAGATCGGAAGGATGTGTATGGACACGAATTATTCCTCTTGTCGCAATTCTATCTACGTGCCCGAGACTGTTCCGTTGAATTATCTCCCGTAAGCGCGCGCCTTTAAAGACTTTAGTGCGCGCGCACAAATATTATTGCGCAATCGAGAGCTTAAATCAGCAGATCCTTATCGCTGCTCCAAGAGAAATCTCAGCCATTAGAGGGGCTACGAGCGCGACTCTAGCCCGAACGAAGGAGGAAAGTCTTGCTCCGGCTGCTGCTGGCTTCGCTGGCCAGCCCATGTAGGCCTCTCGTCTTCTAGTCAAAGTCCATGCACCGGTGGCCAAATTTAGCCGCATCGCAAAGTACCTATACGTCGATGGCATTCATATTGAGCACGTGCGTGCATGCCCTACCAATTGCACAATCCGAATGCGTATCTTTACGCAACGCTTGCATCCGAAAGAAAGAAATAAGTCGATCATCAGTCAACGTCGCAAAAGCTACTATTCACGTATACGAATGACAAATTGCCAACGTATTCGGGAATAAATCGTTAATCATCATCCTCTTCTTCGCTCGAGCTCTTTCTCTATGCACTTTTTTCCTTTTTTTTATCTCACGTTCGAGCTGGAAAATCTCAAAACAGAGGCGAATACATTTATTCTTTCATTGGATATATTTTTATTCTCTTTCTAGCGATTGAAGAAAAGGAAAGAATTGAAAAATGCCATGAAAAGGCTGTTGATGAAGGTAGAAGGTAGAAGGTATAGATGTTTTGCGCTGGCTCTGATCTTACGTCCTCTGGGTCGGACTGGCGCACGAGGCACGCGACGATTGATATTTTTTAATTACGTGCACAGCCTTCGTTCAGGATGATTAATGGTCGCGTCGAATTTTCGTTGTTGCCCGCAGCGCTACCGCGTTCAACGTCCCTGCAAGATTTTTGCGATCTTGCGAGCTGAAACTCGATGTATTACGACGAAATTGCTTTTAAATACACATCGCGCGCCGCAGCCGGCCGTACGCGCGTGCACGCGAGAGCCGACTGCCGAGATGATAAATTCAATAAGCTAATTAAGCTTTACACGTGCACCGTTACGACATTCATAACGTCGACTGAAAACTCAATCGAGCGAGCACCGCAGCCGAGCACTCGGAGGCCCGTATACCTGAATACGGACTCGAATCGGCAGCACCAGAGCGACATCTCGAGTTTTTCCCTGCTAATCCATCGATCTCGCGAAGCTGTATCCGCGTGCCGGCGAACGGACCCACGCGCTGCGATCCACGACCAGAGGCGAGCCGAGCGGCCGTTTGTTTTCGCTCCGGCTCCTCTCCCTTTCTCTGCACTTGGCGATCGCGCCGAAAGAGAGAGTACGCGCCTGTACAGGCCACGAAAGCAGCAAAGGAGCAAAGAGCTGCGAAGGATGAGGTGCGCACGTGCAATTATAACGGAATGGTCGCCACCAGAGACGAAAATGTACTTGCAAATGCAGCGCGATGCAGCGTACGATCATGGCCACCCGAAAACGCCGTTATGTTTATGAAGCGATTCTAATTTCTGCGCCTCGCGCCTCGACCGATTGCTGCAGGTACTGCGTTTTTTACGCGCGCCACCTAAAGACGAACAGCTTCGAATGGCAATCGTGAGTAGGGAGTTTTTTCCTCTCTCTTTCTTCTCTTTATCTCTCTTTTTTTCCTTCTGGCCCGGTAAAAATCGTGAGCGCTGCTGAATAGTAAACTTACTTTTACGACTTTACAAGCTGTCGTAATTCGACATGTAGTCGCGATCATTTTCCTTTTCGTGGCCGTGGTACACAGCCAAGTATCGAAAATTTTGGCGATACTCGCGAAGCTGCAGTCGTGAATAATGGACCGTGCACATAAGTTGCTCGCAATCGGCCTGCTGACCTTAGCGATTTTTAACCGTAAGCCTCGTCTCTCTGCGTTCTCACCCTTTTCCAGCAAAGTAAGTGCATTCATGAAAAACACGCGTAACTTTATTGCGTAACAGAGGGAGACTCGAAGAAATTGCGAATTGTCGAAGGCGACGAGATCAGCGATACCGAAGCACTGCCTTATCAAGTGTCCCTGCAGGATGAACAGGGCAATTTCTGCGGCGGCGGAATAATCGGCGAGCGTCACGTACTTACGGCGGCTCATTGCATTATGCGCGACGACGGTACGTTTTACAAGCACTCGAGCCAATGGATCGTCGCTGGGAGCGCCGATGCGCGACACCCAGAATTCGGCCTGAAATTGACCATCGCCAAGATGTACGTACCGAAGATTTATTTTACCAACAACTCGAGAAGCTTCGTCCAAGGCGACATAGCCGTGATCAAGGTAATTCGACAGATGCCATTTTTAATGGATTTCAGCTTCGTGATAGATAGCCAATTAACCTAGGCAGTACTGTGATTGTTGAAACATCGAAGACAAGAGAGAGACTGGATTTGCGAAGAGGTTGGCCTATCGTAGCCAAGCTAAATTTGCCTTTTTCCAATTTCCACTCGAAAGAATTCAGTGGGAAAGCCGTAGTGTCGGGCTTTGGCTCTAACCGAGTGAACTGGATAAAAAACCTCGACGGCAGTTTTAGCGAGGAGAGCGAATCCGATGGCAAACTGAGATCGGCCGAAGCGAGACTCATGAGCAACTCCGTGTGCGTGCAAATGTACGCCAAAAGGCGCAAACGACCGTCGATAGCAAGCTCGCAGGTGTGCGCTCAAGTGATGCAGAGAGACGCGCGCCATCCCGGCGGAGTCTGTACGGTGAGAGACGGCGACATTTTTCGCACCAGCCGATCATGGTAAATTTGTACTCTCGATGACAGGGCGATAGTGGAAGTCCGCTGGTGGTTCACGACGCTTCGGACGGGCCAACGGTCGTCGGGATTTTGAACGCCAGTCCACCAGGCTGCAAGGAAAATAAATATCCCAGCATCTACGCGAGAGTTTCCGCGTACGGTGACTTTGTACGAAACGCCATGAGGGGCCGCTTGACTCCCGATATGAGACTTTCTACGAGGGAGCGACGATATTGAAACATATCTTAAAAAGTACGTACTCTCGTTTCTCGTCATTATCGTGCGCAGTTCTGCCTGTGCATCTCCGTTGATCGATGCAAGCTTGAAATTATGCATTCGCGATCGAGCCCAAAAAAGCGATGAACTGCAAAAGGACCCATTATCATAAAAGACACCATCCTCGAGCCTTTGATAAGTTGATTAGAGTATGGTTATTTTGAATTGATATTCGTATTTGCAATCTTGACTATTTGTCCGAAAGCAAATGTCCTGTAGGCAGAAAATTTGGCCGAGTCATACCTCGCGGCAAAAGTACCGCGTGC